GGTGAAACTTGCCTTATCGCATTATCATCTCTACAAGTTCTCCATACGTTTTCATCGTAATTATCTTCTATTTCTTTAATGCCTAAGGTTTTGTTATTTTTTTTAATGAGACAGAAATGTGATTTATGTAAGTAAAATACCCAATCTAATTCCTCGGATACTTTCTTTGGTTGAAAATGTCTATGTTTGGGCATATAAATTTGGAAATAGGTATTAAATTTCTCATTGAATTCACTGATTCTAGCAGTTGTCATAACTCCTTTTCTGTTTGATTTTGAAAAACTGTTGATGAAATCTTGAAAATCTCTCGTGTAGTCTTCGTTTAAAACACGATTAACGCACTTTACAAAGCAGTATCCATCGCTCGGTATATAGCAATTTATACCGATATATTCTTTTATCTTTTTGAGTAGGGTAACACCACTACCCTTTTTTGATCTTTTTATTTCTTTGAAATTGTTTTTACGAAAAATCATTTTTCCTGTGAAATACCAATCAGAAGCATCCGATTTATCATCCACTTTACTGAAGAAATTGTGAAAAGTTTTTTTTATCAAAACCTACAAATTTCATGTATTGTATTTTCCATCTTGAATTATTTCTCCATCTAATTCAATTTACCCTTTAAATGTTATAAATTCATCAGAGACAAGGTCAATAACATCGGAAAAAGTTCATTTGATATGAATTTTTCATCATCTAAAATTTCAATTTTATTCATATTTTTTAAGCAACTATTTTTAACTAGGAATTTTTAACTTTTATTGATGATATTTCTACATGAAATTTAATTAAAATTTCATTGAATTTTTCTAATTCTTCAACTTCTATGTTCTTGTCTTCTCTCGATCTTTCGAAAAAAATTAATAATTTATTAAGATATGTATTTAAAATTTCTGTTTCCTTTTATAATGAGCTTTCTGTTTTGATGTAAAACCTAAAGTAATCAAATCACAAGATGAAGTTTGAACGGCAGTGAAAGCGGCTAATACAGTTGGGACAATTATTGGAAGCATTAATCCACCGGTTACGGCTGTTGCCACCGTTATCCCTACTGTTAAAACTGTACTTAATGTTTTAATCAATTCTACTCCACGTTTTCCTGCATTTGTTGAATTGTTTTAGTTTTTCTTTTAGTTCGTTTTGTTTTTCTATCATATATTGTTGTCTACTTTCGAGTTCCATTTTTTAGGTAATTAAATTAAGTGAATTTCTGAAAAAGCTACCCCTTTACTAATGAAAAAATGCATAGTTACTAAGGATATTTGTTCTTTCAAATCATTAATCTTATTCAGATGAACTGAAAATTTTGGTTTACTAATAGTTAAAAACATAGTAACAGATACATCATCTCTTTTTGTTGGTATCAAAAATTTTTCTTGTTGTTAACTTTTATGAATATCGATTGAGGTAAATATATCATTATCAACAAAGTATAGTTTTACGTATTCAAAGTCTGTTGCTCGTAAAAAACGCGAAATTCCTTATTTCCCCTATATTTTGTGGTTTTGGATTTCTAATAATACTTGCTGATGGTGGAGTTTCCGTTTCCAATAACATATCAAAATTACTCAATGAAAGTTCATCTTCTTCATTATCTGGTATTATTGACATTCTAAACCTATCTATATATTTTCCACTTGTTTTCATTTCATATAAGTGATCTCTCTTGGTGTTTTCATCGTTAATTTCTAATTCTTTCGTTTCTACATTTTTTGTACCATTGATAAACTGAAGAACTTTGCGAGCGTTAAATTTTAAAAAAAAACGAGAGTTTTATCTGAAGAATATTGAATCTACTTTTACTTCAAAAGGAAAATTAATTTCAATTATAAGTTTTCCTCGGAAATTAAAAAATATTGGTTGATAATCATTCTCATCATCTGAATCAAAAATATTATTGGGGTAAATAGTATAATTTGGAAGAGAATATAGTCTAATATTTGCTGTAAATCCATATATTTTAAATTCATAGTCTTTTGATTTATCAGTATTATCAGTAATAGAAGAATCATCATGAACTCCCATTACTCCAAAAGGAAGATTGAAATAATATGATTCTTTCTTGAGAAACTTTTTTCTAATGCGACTATATTTTTGTCCTGTTTCAAAACTAGCTTATTAATAGTGGTTATCTGTTGTTGAATAACATCATCAATGTTCTGTATTTGTTGATGAATATAGGTTTTGATTTCGCTATCATCTATGTTTTGTATTTGTTGTTGAATATAGGTTTTGATTTCGCTATCATCTATGTTTTGTATTTGTTTTTTAATATTTGTTAGTTCTTTTTGTAAATTACTGTTAAGTTTAGTTTCCAGAGCATTTAATTCCTGTTGAAACGTATCTTCATTTTCATCTAGAATGTTATCTATTAATTGTTGAATGTCTAATTTTTGTTTTGCAATCTTATCCTCTAATTTAAATATTAATGAAATTAAATTTTGTAACTCAGTTTTATTCGCAACGTTGACCAATTGTTTTTGAATAAAACTTTTTAATCTTTTTACCTCTTGTTGTAGTTTAGTATCATTAACAAAATTTGTATTATTTAGTTGACGTTTGAAGAATCTTTTCTTCAATTGAATTTATTTGATCCCGTAAATATTTCTTCTGAACAGCGTCATTATCATTTTCCGGAGATTTTAAATTAGTTACTTTGAAATTGTTCATATCTAAATCACCTTGAAGAGTGTCTCCGATTTGATCCACAAAGTAAGGTTTCGCTTTATTTATCCACGCTGTAGTGTTAGGTTTTTTAGCTTCTAAAGATAAAGAACCTAATCCAAACTTGTTCGCCATTTTTATTGAGTTAAATTTATTACAATTTCTTCGAATTGTTTTCCTAAACTCAACTGATATAAAACCCAAAGTGAAAGCTGACCACAAAACTTTTGTCCTGGTAATTGAATTTGAAAGGTTGAACATTTGATTGGTTTATTAGTCAATTGCATTATCTCTTCAGTGGGTTCTAATCCATAAGAATCGAAGAAATATAAGTCAGAGTCTTTGTACAAAGCAGAATGATGAACTCCTTTTTGATCGGAAGTATGTATATTTGTTATAGCGTAAAATTTACCTTTCTTACATTTCAGATCATTTATTTCATCTCTCATACAATAATAAAACGATGATATATTTAACTCATTCGCCCATTTCATAAGTTGAAAGTTTGTGGTTGTATCGGTTCCACATTTATCGAGAAATTCATTCAGTTTTAAAAGTTAGTTTTTTTGAGGAGTATTGTTGAAATATATACGTAGTTTGTGTTTGAAAAAAATTGTATTACATTCTGATAAAACACATTCAATAATATTTTGAACATAAACTTGCATGTAAATTTAAATTTAAGAAAGCGTAAATGCTTGTCTACATCTCTTAATCTTCTATCAAATTATTCATCTTCGAGAAATTCATTCATTTTTAAAAGTCGGTTTTTTGAAGTTCATTTTGATAAAACCTTCCTATGATTTGTTCTTTGTCTTGATCGATTAATTCATATGTCGGAGGTGATGTGCTGTTTACTTTATCCACGATGAATATTTCGTTCCACCAGTATCCAACGTAACCTTTTTCGAATTTACTTTTATATTTGAAAATACGAACTCGATCTCCGACTTTAAATTTGGGTTTGATATTTAAATTCTTTATTTTCATAGTTATGTTGCGCGTTAATTGACTTTATAATATTTGGATTACTCGAGGCTTGTGTTGGTGTGACACCTATAGATGAATGAATTTTGTTATTGTATTCATCTACAACCTCTGGTAATATTTTAAGCCATTTTTGAGATTTAAATTCCGTGAACTTTTTAAATAATTTATTTTTTAGAGTCCTGTTAAATCTTTCTATTACTACAGCTTTACCTTCGTTATGCGTGCTGTAAATTTCAAATCCTGGAGATTTCATATTTTTGTTGTAAAATTCACTTCCTTTATCTACCCACAGTTTTTCTGGATGTCGCTTAGATTGTTTCATAATCGTTTCAAATGCTTGTTTGACTGATAAACCTGTTTTGTTTTTCAAAGGAATAACCCAAGCATATCTCGTATACAAATCTATAACTGTTAACCAATATTTAAATCCTCTTTCGACTGGCATATGAATTAAATCGGCCGACCATATTTCATCTTTTTTCAAACACTTTAACTTTTAAAAAGTTTTTAGTTTTTCTAAATTCTTTATGAATTTCATCCGCTAATCCCATGCCTAATTTCATCTTTGCTTTTAACAGTTTAATGATTAATGCTCTTTGCATTCTCTCTTTGAAAGTTGGATTTGGAATATTTTCAAGTTCGATTATCATTTGTCTCTCTGCTTCGTGTCTGAAGTTTATGTCTTTGTTTCTGTATAGTATGTCGTGTTTAAGCGCAGCGGCGTCAACTCTATTGACTGGTTCTTCCCCTAGTTTGGGTTTATCGTTTTTGTCTAATCGCAGATCTAACCTAGTACCTGGACCGGTGTAATTATGACCGGGAAGATGTTTTTCTCCGGGATATGTCGCCCATGGAAATCCAGGAAGAGAACCCAATGATTTTTGTATATCTCATTTCATCTCATATCTCATTTTTATCCTATAACTTTAAAACCTTTTCCTTTCCTTTCTTCTAATCTCCTGTTTCGCAGTTCTCTTGTTAGCTCTAATTCTTTCAACTCGTTAGATTGTTTCACTGTGTCGCTTGTACTCTTTCCCGCTTCCGCGATTGAGCCGATGGCTTTCGCTCCGGTTGAAATGAGTGATTTGTTTTTTGAAACAAAGCTAGCTACTTTTGGAATTATTGTTTTACCTAGAGAAAATAATGAAGAAAAGATACCGTCGCCCGAATAATCTTCGAATCTGTGTTGTTCGTGTTTTAGAATTAAACTCATCCTATTTTTAAATGAGTTAATTTAACGAAGAAATTGTGTTTCCAAAAAAGAGTTATCTCCCTTTTCTAGACTAAAAATAACATTACTTAAAACGAGGTTATTTTAAAACCGGATGTTAAGCGAAACAAGGATGTTATTTTATATAAGGGTATTTTTAATATGCTTTTTTGATGGAATGTAGAAAATTGATTGAAGGTGTTTTTTGGTGAATAGGGAGTTTAGTGTGTAAGAATTTATGAAATGTAGGATGTTTTATGAAATGTAGGATGTTTTATGAAATGTAGGGTGTTTTGCTGTAAGAATTTATGAAATGTAGGGAGTTTAGGTCTTTTTTGGGAGCTTATATATTGGTCGCATTTTCCCCATGAAATGAAATGGAATGGGGAATCCCCATGCGACCAATCTATAAGCTCATACACTACTAGCAAACAATTTGACTTTTTTTTTTACTTTCTTGACATTTTACAAAAATAGGTCAAAATTTGCAAAATTCAGCTTAAAAATGTGTGTTACAAATTTTCGAATTTTTAAATTCTTAAACTGCTATCATATCAGATATATGTAGATTCCAAAAATGAAAACTCGAAGAAAATCGACCCAAAAATGTGACTTCTACTTGTTTGCACATATTGCTCGATCTCTTGAGTCCTCCCTGATCCACGTTCATTCTATTGAGGCTAACTTGATTCATTGTTCGTCCTATTGATGGTTTATTAAAAGTCCTGATTTGTCTGATCCATTACTCGTACTATTGAGTCATACCTGATATATGGTTCGCTCTACTGGGGTAAACCTGATCTCTATATATCTATGAAGTCTTTGAATGGCATTTAGCAATTGAGAGTACGATATATAGACACAGCTTTATGCAACAACAATCACTGGTTAAAGTTTTATG